ATCTTCTGTTGACAATCAAGAGCGAATACTTTTCGAATATTTTTCACGCACATCACGTGCTGATGAACCCGGAAATTACAAAGAATTTAAAATGAGTTTACACGCTCCCTCGGTCAACTAAGTCCTTCAGAACTGTTCAGGTAACTCCTTTTCGTACTATCTACAGCTTTATCCGATCCTGTGCTGCTCACTACTAGCAGTAATATAGTAGGAAAACAACTTATACTCGTACGTACTTTAATGTTAAAACCTCAACCTCATGTGTAAATAGGTAGGAAAAGAAAGTTATTGATTGCATAGTTTTACTGTATCCTAATATTTTGCGAGACAAAATGGTGTCTAAAACGTTACCTCGACTATACTCAAATGTCTCAGTCAGGACCAGTAGAACAGGACGTTAACGAACTTTAATCTTAGCAAGATGACAAGCATAATTGATCGAAGTTAAATATTTCACTCTTACTACGAACAATAAAACAATATATACGACTATTCACTTACTATGCGTCCAACAGGCATTGTAAACTTAAGACAAAGAAATTCTAAAATCTTAGCCTAAATGTCCACGGTGAGTTCCACGTAGTGGTTCTCGTTCGATAAATGTGCTGAAACCCCATCACTGGCAAGAAACCAACGCAATCCCCTGCGTTAAAGGAACGCTTTTTTTACTTATGTATTATTATTATTATTTTTTTTAATTTACAGACTTTTAACAAGGCCTGATGCTAACTTGTTTTCTGTCATCCAGTCCTCTGCCACCTTCATTGAAAAAATACTCAATAAGTCTAATCTTTACTTACGGACGCTCCCGTAAGCGTGCAGTTGTACTTACGGACAGCTTTTCAAACCCCTTTTTTCCTCACATACAAACACTGTATAGTTACACTTTCTAATAAGCGGACAAGAGCCTCAAAACACTTGACGAAAGTAAATTGCTTTTCATCTTCGCAAATCGATTTCCCAGATGCGCAGACGCGTCGTAGTTATGACAAAATTGGCGGGAATATTTTTGTGCTTTAATTTCGCTCTCCTCTGGATTTTTTTCTTGTGATTACTTTTTCTAATATTATCAATTTCTGGAAGATAAGTGTTTGAGGAAAAAAAATCGATTTGGCGCTTTTGTATAGCGCTTTTGAGTATGGTTTTCCTGTGGTGGAACCCTGTGTCAGTCCATGAAAAATCGATTTTATGGATATACATTTTTTCTTAGCTATGGTTCTATGGGAGTTCCGCTATAAATTATATTGCTCTATCATTCAACGTGGTGTCCCACAGGTCCCAGAGTTTCGTTTTTTGCGTTTTTTGTTGTTCAAAAATGCAGTAAGTCTTACTTCTACTAGCCTCCAGACTTATGTAGAGAAACCAAAGCTCTTTCAACGTGACTTTGTTATGTTTATTGAATACAGTATATTTTAATACATACAGTACTGTATTTGTAAAATTAATCGTTTAATCATTGAATTTCACTATCTTAATCGCTTAACATTATGAATACTTTTTAACTATTAAGCAAGAGAATATTTGACGTGGTTGAACCGTTTCAAGATCCCTTACTATTGGACGGACATTTCTGCATGGGGACACTTTTTTCGTTTCCCAATAGTGTCCGTTTATGGGAGATTTTCGACTGTACACTGCAATTCATATCATAGTACATATTTCACTACTTCGAATTTAATCCTATGCAATTTGATATCAACGAGAGAAATAAACATTATAGAAATCGAGGAAATATCAAAAGATAACAAGTTTGCCCCATACATTCTTCACTTCCAATATGCAAATTGCCCACCTATCCAAATTGCAATGCATAGACCTAATCGGCTTACGCGTTGTTATGTCATTTCCACCCAATTTAAATTCTGTGGGAAAAAAAGAACTTCAATAAAAATTACTCCCGGGTGTTTTGAATTGTGTGAAAACGTTTATAGCAGCGCGTTAGCCGAACGGTCTATTTCCTTCAAATATCGTATGTTTTAATAGCGGCATCGATATATTAAGTGGGATCCCTGTGTTTTGTTAGAGTTTCTTTCACCTAAACCTCTAAGCCATCTTGACGAAACACCTCGATCTCGTCTGGCTGAAAGTAGTACGATCCTGCAAGAAGGTTCCTTGCTTTAGTTGATCCATATGTGTAGCCCTTAATCAGTACATAGCAATTTCCAAGGTTCGTATAGGAGTTTGTGTTGCTACCAGCATTATTACTAATATATATGTCATGGCTGTTTCCAAAGATTGGTCCGTAGCTGCTACCTCCATAAATTGCATTCTGCGATTGGAAAACTTTCATTTTAAATGGCTTCAAGTTATCTTTGTTTACGAATGAAAACAGGAACGAGTTGACTGATCTGCTGTAAGACCCTTTGGAATCTTTAAAAAGAAAACAATTATAATACGTTATTGTGAGCATAAAAAAGCTGTACCAATGTGATGGATGTTCTGTGTTAACCCCCGAATATAGCAAAGATCAACAACTGGAATACTTACGCCAACTGACGTCTGTATAGCCTCCAAATATGTATTTGTTCACTTTGATAATTGTAATAGTCGGTCCTTTACCATCACACTTTGCGTGGAATGTTCTGCTGGCCCATCCGTGAAATCTGCTTTGGTAGCATGGTACCCATCTTATCGGATTATTTGTCACTGGAGCCAGCCATTCTGTCATTAATTCATAATAATCCCCTCGATTGTTGAGGATGTTTGAATGCAATGTATGAAAAAAACGGCGACCTGTGAGACAGAAAATCTCATCACTTATTGAGAACCGTTAATTAATGTACAACTACAGAAAGATACTGTCCTGGATTGACATAACATGAAAATGCGTGATGACAATAACGGCACGCTAGATATAAACAGAAAAGGCGAAATGCGTGTCGATTTTGAAATAGCAGCAGCACATGAGATGGATAACTTGGGTACTTAATGATGGTAATCCCGTATAGGCTGCCTTACAGATGGGGTGAGGGGAGGGGGGTCTATTTTTCAGAATGCCGTCATAAACTAAATGATTAACTAAATTAGTTTAATGCATAGGTATAGTGTTTTAGAACTGTCAGCTAGAATAAGAAGTTCATAACAAAACACTATCTCACAAACAGTTCGTACAAAAATCAAAATAGAACAACTCGGCCCTGAGTAATTTGACCGGTCGTCAAATGTCTGCAATAGCAAAGACATCCTTCGCCAAGCTAGTAGTCGATATAGATCTAAATAATAACGGCATAGTTTTAGAATATTCTAGACTATAAAAAGCTGACCGTTAACTGTTGATGTCAGAAAATTGAGCACGCTTCCTAGGTAATAATTATTTTACTACACGACAACAGTCATGTTTCTTGCGGATTTTTTTTTAAATCAACTAAATTGACTTGCAACTTTCAGGGAAATAATTCATATTGCTTACATTAATTTAAGATGTTTCTCAATATTTTCCACCCTCTGAGATTTAATGAGCAAATTTAATGAAAAACTCAGGTATATAAATAGTTATATGCACATATGAATGTACATGTGGTATGAACTTTGTAAAACGTTACAGTACATGTTAGAAAGAAGAAAGGGATAAAAACCTACATGAAGGAATGGAGTTGCTCCATGCACCATTTTCCAGACAAAGTCGGTTTGATGCTCCCAGCAAGTAGTAACCAGGATCACAAGTATAAAATACCATATTTCCAGCCCAGAACTCATTGCCAGTGCGATAGCCAAAATTCAGTGGTTTTCCAGGATCACCACAGCTCATTAGGGCTATAAGAGTTCAAGGAATTCAATAACTAATCATATATTTTGTGTCCATTATGTCTTTGTGTAGTTTGTTAATTTACCCTGTGAATATTGGATTTATGTGACATCAGAAGGAATGCTTTTCATTCTTTCATTCTTTACTTTTTTTTACTTAACCCTATTCAGATTGGGCTTTTTTTTTCAATCCGTGACTGGGGGGGGGGGCTCATTCGGCCCCCCTCAATATCTTCGGAACCAATACGTCTATGAGCATGAAATTTTCACACAATGATCGTCCACGTAAAACGAACCACCACACCCAGTCTTGACCCGTGGGAACCAAWYGTGRCGTCATAATGACGTCATTTTCACCATTTTAACGATTTATAATTCATTTTAATAAATTGCCTACAATTCCATAGAGAATGCTGCAATATCATCTGATTATTATTGAAATGACTTGAAAATAATATTTTTGTATTTTTTAATTGACCCCTGTTCTATATGACGTCACAATGACGTCATAGATATAAGGTAATTTTTATAAATTATATATCTATATCTAGATAACCAGTTAAATATCATATTTAGGCGTTACTCCTCTCCTGTGATGTTGTGGTTCATTTTGTATCCATGGTAACAGTTGTGACGTCATAATTGTGATGACGTCATTTCCTATAGTGTCTTTGTCGTCTTTGAATAATTTGACTCCAAATCTCACTTTTTTTGTCTACATAGACTTTTTATGGTAAAATTTACAATTTGAGAAGTTTTTGAAGTTAAACAATTTGGAACAAGCAATTTTGAGAAGAATATCCGCCATTTTAGGATCCGCCATCTTGGACCGCCATCTTGAATTTTCTAAAATGCGATTAAAAAATTAAGTATTGAGGCAAACAGCTCAAAATGTCTGAAATACTTCTCAAACTAACATTTAATGAATAAAAAAGTGAGTTTCGAAGTGCTACTGATGATTTTAATGAAATATTCTCCCATGTGAAAAAATGACAGAAAACTACCCACCCCTCCCCCCAAAGTTTTTGTTGTCGAAAAAGTATTATGGTATTGTAGAGTCAGCAATGGGAGCAAGCTCAAATAGGTAAAAGATGCATAATAAAACAAGAAATAAGCTTTAAAAATGAAAAATTAAGCTTATTTTACATTTTTGAAAACCTATGTGTCAAAAACTGGTTGCCATGGCGACATGGATGACGTTATCAACAAAAAAATTATATCAAAATCTGCCCAGATAAATTTTAGGAAAAGTCCGA